CCTTATCTCTACAAAATATTTAAAAATTAGCTGGATATGGTGATCCACACTTGTGTTCTCAGTTCTCAGCTACTTGGGAGGCTGAGGTGGGAGAATAGCTTGTGCCTGAGAGGTCAAGTCTGCAGTAAGCCATATTCACGCCACTGTACTCCAGACTGGGCAACACAGTAAGACCCTGTCTCAAAAAAAGAGAGAGAGAAGGTGGGCAGAAGGGAGGAAGGGAGGGAGGGAGGAATTTATGTAGCCACTTGTCAGCTTCCTAAACTTCAAGATCTAACTCATATTTTTCCCCAGTTGACTAATTTAAAGATGAGCTACCCTCTCAATTGCTGATGTACAGACCTATGACTCTGTATACCTCAGGACACCTACTTATTATTGGACAAAATCTAATTAGGCAACTAAACTCAAAGGAAGTATCTAAGGAGAAGCCCCCCAGCCTCTAAATAATCACTGCCTTTTCATTCTATGCATATTAAAATTTGCAATAGAAATGAGATCAGTACCATGTATATTCTTAGTTTAGAATATTCAAGTGGCACATTTCTTCAGATTTAACATGTACAGTATTTTAATCAATAGTTGTTTGACAGAAGATGCCAAACTCTTTTTATGTAGATGTTGCTTTCAGTTGCTAAAAGATAAGAAATTTTAATTACCTGGTGAAACATTTTCATCAGGAGCTTCTTGGAAATATCTTTTTTTTCCCATTTATTTATTTTATTGCATTTTAGGTTTTGGGGTACATGTGAAGAACATGCAAGATTGTTGCATAGGTACACACGTGGCAGTGTGATTTGCTGCCTTCCTCCCCATCACCTNAGGGAGGAATTTATGTAGCCACTTGTCAGCTTCCTAAACTTCAAGATCTAACTCATATTTTTCCCCAGTTGACTAATTTAAAGATGAGCTACCCTTTCAATTGCTGATGTACAGACCTATGACTCTATCCCTCAGGACACCTACTTATTATTGGACAAAATCTAATTAGGCAACTAAACTCAAAGGAAGTATCTAAGGAGAAGCCCACCAGCCTCTAAATAATCACTGCCTTTTCATTCTATGCATATGAAAATTTGCAATGGAAATGAGATCAGTGCCATGTATATTCTTAGTTTAGAATATTCAAGTGGCACATTTCTTCAGATTTAATGTGTACAGTATTTTAAGCAATAGTTGTTTGACAGAAGATGCCAAACTCTTTTTATGTAGATGTTGCTTTCAGTTGTTAAAAGATAAGAAATTTTAATTATATGGTGAAACATTTTCATCAGGAGCTTCTTGGAAATATCTTTTCTTTTTTTTCCCATTTATTTATTTTATTGCATTTTAGGTTTTGGGGTACATGTGAAGAACATGCAAGATTGTTGCATAGGTACAAACGTGGCAGTGTGATTTGCTGCCTTCCTCCCCATCACCTACATCTGGCATCTCTCCCTTTGCTATTTCTCCCCTACTCCCCACCTCCCACCGTCTCTCCCCTATTTCCCTCCAACTGACCCCCCAAATGCCCATCGATGATAGACTGGAAATATCTTTTCTAATACATAAATTGACGACTTGTGCTGTTTCATCTCTACTCTCATTACTGAAAATTATTTGAAGTTCCAAACAAATTGAATAGCTTAAAATAGATTAAAATTCTGGGTTAAAAAATATAGAAACTAAATTCATGCTTTTTGAACACTCTGTCCTTTTTGTTCTAGCCCACACAACTTCATCAACTCACCATTGATTGGGCAAGTATTGTGTTTGGTCTAATAGATCTGGGCATGAGCTCTACGCATGATTCCTCACAAGCATATAGGATTTCTCTTACAAAGTGAAAAGTAAAAAAACAATAAGGAAAGTCTGGTATTATTTTTGTCTCTTTTGTTAAACTTGCCATAGAGAGCACATGCAGTGATCAAAATTTACTCAAAAACCTGAAGATTTTCTCTAGTCTTTAAAGGTGTAGAGACAAAAGCTAGTTGCTAAAAATAAACTTAAAAAAAAAGAAAAGATAAACAGTTTGTCTCTTAGAAGAGTCTTATAAGTATGCATTATTATTCATTTAAACTGAATAGTTTTTAAGGTTACAGATCTTGTCTATGCTTTATATGGGTTCTGAAATTGATGGAACCATCTAATGAGAGATGTTAAAGAATAGAACAAATGCTGATAAAAAAAAAAACTTGATGCAAAGCCTATAAAGGCATAATGGTGCAATAAGGTCATATGAGCTAGTCAGCAATACCATGTTTGGAGATGAAGACAATTGACATTAGACTTTTGGATACCACCCTGCAATATCACCTAGGCTAGAGCGCATCATCACAATCACAGCTCACGACAACCTCAAACTTCCTAGGCTCAAGTGGTCTTCCCACCTCAACCTTTTGAGTAGTTGTAACTATATATGCAAGCCATGGCACCTGGCTAATAACAACTTTTAAAAATAACTATTATGATGTATTTCAGTCTTGAAATTAAATACATCAAACCTATGAAAAATATTCTAAGAGTACTCAGCACAAAGTCCTCCCTCTTCTGAATTGTATTAGAATTGCTATTACATCATTTCAACATGTGATTTCCACATTTTAACTAATGTCTGTTATAGTTTTAAATTGCACTTAACTTTTCTCATATGTAATTTTAGCAAAATTATACAACTACATTCATTGATGATAAACACAACATGGTTCAAAAAGAAACCAAGCATGGATATTTAAAGATCACTTATAGCCTCTCTGAATGATGTAAAAGAGAAAAACATGCCATTCTGCAATGGAATCCCAGGGGCTTCCCTATTAAATGGTTCAGACCAACAAGTCGTATGTATTGATTAGGATAAAAAATGAACATAGACGTCATAAATGAGGATATCTTAAAATATGCAAATAGTGGGCACCCCAAAGAGATCTACCAAGATATTTAGAATAATTTTATAGTTATACATCATGAGAAAACTGACCTCCTTTTACGTGTAAAACATAAGAAGATATAAGGTAGCGCTCTGAAGCCGGAATCACTGCCTTCATTTTTAAGCTTGTATCCTCATGACACTCATGGGATCTTACTTCTCTGTAAGAGCTTTTCTGACTATTAGAATGTGGCTCAAATTCAATTATGCCTCCAAATAGCTACCCAGTGAGAAATCCTGTAAAATCATTTCTAAACAACCAGCTGTTATAAAACACAAAGTCCTCCCTCTTCTAATTTGTATTAGAATTTCTATTCCATGATTTCGACATACAATTTTCAGATTTTAACTAATGTCTGTTGCAGTTTTAAATTGCACTTAACTTTTCTCATATGTCATCTAGGACCTATCAGTTAAAAGAGTCACTAAGAAAAGGAGAGTCTTTGAACATCACTATTTTTTCAGCTTCAGCTTCAGCTTTACAAATCACATTGACTGACAAGAATATTATTGCTTCACACCAGCATTTAGATGAAATTTTCTTTTAGTTCAGCCATGATGAGATGCTTATTCTCAGACATGTTTGTGATTTTTTTTTAGTTTCTTTACATTATCCTATTAATCCAAATATATATTAGTAAACACACTAATACTTGTTTAATTGATTGCTTTTTTAGCTCCACCGCCTTATCAAAGAAAGGGAAGTTTCATTAATTTCTGGTAATTCTTTCAGAGTATCTACACGCACATTTCATCTGGTTCTCAGATATTGTCACTTGTTCACAACAGTAGAAGACTCAGAAATATCCATGACAACAAACTGGAGACCTTACTTGCCTCAAGGGAAAAGCTGGTTTGAACACAGCCTCTCCAATGCTTCATTGCCCACCATTCACCCTCAGGGTCCATTCTGTGGCAAGACATTGCATGTTCTCAAGGCAATGAGCGAATGAGCGTGGTGAATGAATAGCCATGAGTGGCAGTATAAGTGCTAGGAAGGTGACTTCACCCATTTGAACAATAAAATTGTATTTTAAACATGTCAGTTTGTCTTGGAAATATTTTTTAAGGTTCTAACAGAAAAAGAGTTGAATAATGAAAATCAAAGTATGAAACACATCTCTAAAAATAAGGAAACTAGTGAGTCAGTTCCTCTCCCCAGATGGTCTGTTTAATTCTCTCTCACACTCTGAATATTCCTACTCAAGAAAAAACAAGGATCCTTGTTAATTAAAACATAATCTTATTAATAAGATAAACGAGGTCATCCAGTAAATTTCCTATTTTTCCAGAGCCATGGTTTTTTTTTTTTTTTTTTTTTTTTTTTTTTTTTTTTTTTTTTTTTTTTGGTGAAACACTCAAATTTTATTAGTACAGTGAACAAAAAACTTTCAGCTCTCCTATCACACTGTAACATGGCATTCCGCATAATTGTCTTTTTGTGTTTCCTTGAGTCTTGAAGGTCCTCTGCTATCATATCCATAAGCAAAGGCTATAATTCTTTAGGACTCATAACACTTGATATCTCTTAATCCTCTCTCCTAGGTTTTGCTCAGCAAGAAAAGCGCCACTCATTTGTCAATTCTCAATCACAACAACCCTATTATTTTATGACAGTAATAAATTTATTCTGCTGTATCTCCAACTAAATTATAAACTCTTGATAAAAAGTTTGTCTTATTCATTTTTCTATCCTGAAGTTTAACACAGTACCTGCCACAGAGCTGGCATTCCATAAGTACAGAACGAATTATACAAAAGGAAATGCAATTAAATCATAATAATGAGTAGAAAGTTCTTCAGCTTTTTAAACATTCCTTTTTAATCTATAAAGCTGAAAACACTTTAGAGTTCATCTAGTTCTTCCCTTTTGTGTTTTACCTAAGAAATTTGAGGTCTAGAGAATTTACATGATTTGCTAACAAACTGCTTAATTTTGGGAACTACCCCCATTAATTCCCACATCAAACTTCCTTTGTGTTCTGCATTAAATTTGAATAATGATTCAAATACTATGGAAATAAAAAAATTCTTTGTCTTTTTTTTTTTTTTTTTTTTTTTTTTTAGAAATAAACACTTTCTCATTAAAAATCACTCTCTGACCTGGCAGGGGAGATACCATGATAACAAAGGTGGTTTTCCCAAGGTGAGACATATCCATTGCACTCCGGATGTGCTGAACCATGATTTCCCCAAATGTGGAAAACAAGATTGGCTAATTTGTGGTAGTGGGGGACTGCATTAAAGCTTTCCCCTGACAACAAAAAAAGAAACAAAGAAAAAAAAAATCACTCTTTGAGTGCTTACCAAGAGCAAAGTACTGAATTAAGCTTTAAAAGGTAAATGAAAAAAGACAATTTATTGTCCCTCAGTTCAGAGAAGTTGTCATTATTGTGGCTGAATGAGAATTCTGCTTTGACTTGTATGAGAATTCTGCTTTGACTTTCTCTTTCCAATAGGAATTAAGAAAGATAACTTGGGTATTTCTTCTCATAATGTTCACAAATCAGTCTCATTGTGTTTTTATGTAATAAGTGGCATAACGATTTATCTATCGTTGCATATTACAGAGGAAGGAAGGAAGGGAGGGAGGGAGGGAGGAAAAGGGGAATGGAGAGAGAGAAGGAGACAAGAATGGAAGGAAGGTAGGAAAAAAAAAGAAGGAAATGGAGTTATCTTCTAAGTCTTAAAACAAAGACCTGGCATAGAAATTTTAATTTTGGTTTTTGTTTTAATGGTTGTATTTTTGGTTATGTTCTTTTTCTATTCCCCTCCCTCCTCATTTATTTTTTTCTTATAGAGATAATGGGTGATTATATTCCTAACACTGCTATTAAAATTCATGTACTTTTCCCTCTACTTGGAACTTTAGAGTAAATATAATTAGTTAATCTTATTGATGTTTATTGCTCTGTTGCAGTAGCTCATTTAGATGCATATTTCCTCAAATGATTTTCTTGCCTGAGATTTGGGGAATAATTAGGTTATATTAGTTTAAATCAACAGGTATTATTCTTATAACAATTATAGAATACATAGACGACAACCTTTCTGTAACAAACTTAAGGACAATTTATGTCATTTAATACTCCCAAAGAGATAAGACATTCATTTCCATAATCTGCAAATTATAGAGGAAAAGGGATATAAAAATATTAGAATGGACTTGGAGAAAATTGCTTAACAGAACACAGTCAAAGTGAGAAACATAATTTAAAAATCTGTGGCTACTGTAATAAGCACATTCAAGTGCATTAAACTGCCATAAAATCTATTGCATTTTAGCGGGAAATATGAGAATGATTAAAATAAGGGAATAATTTTAAACTAAGTTATCTTGGAATTACAAACACTTATTGAATACTTAATAGACTCTTTCTTTATAGTATGCACAAAATTAATCCCTATGGGAAAAATCAAGGTCTGTAAACCATTGTCATTAATTTTAAGAATATGTCAAATAGCTGAATTGTACTTCCTTGGTCATAAAATATAGTTAAGGAACCTATAAAATATACATTCTAATAACCAATGCCAATGAGAAATGGCACACTATTACAGTTCCATGTTGTTCTCAATTTTTCTCTATTAAAACTGGAAAGACAATCCCTTGAAGTGAGGGCAACACCAATATATGAAACAATAATATTATTTAATAATATACTTCATTGGCAGAAGCTCATTACCATGGTAATGCAACTATTCAAAGCAACATCATTTTGCTCTTTTGTCTATGAAACTTATTAAAGTAAAATCTGATGTTAACATTAACACCCACTAGATGAAATTATTTCCTAGAATTATAATTATGTATAATGGATAACAACAGCATTTTTAACTTAACATTTTAAAAAGCATAAAAGCAACACACTTAACCCTGTGTGCTCCTGGGGAAATAAGTTAAACTTTCAGCAACTCATCTCCTCCATTTCTAAATGGGTACAAACCTTCTATAGCAGGAAATAGATTGAGAAAACTCCTCAGACAGCAATAAAGCCCTGTTTAAAAGTAGTCAAGAAACATGAAAAACTAAGTACCTTCTAGGGTGTGCAGCAAAGGGCTGTGGAGAATAATGGACTGATGAGCTACTCCCTGATAGCAGAATTGATCTAATCAATGAAGTCTCTGGCCCCACAGTAAGAAGACCTCGAAGCATTTGCCCCATGAGATTTCAAAATTAATGCAGACAAGTGACTGCTATGTGGTTTTCCTAGATCACTTTTTTGAACAGACAAGTATCTTGTTATTATATTGCATTAGTCTAATCCATGTGTTGGTTGTATGTGATATTGATAAACTTATTAATAAAGCTCTGGATTTAAAGGAGTGCATCCTGATTTGAAGTATATGATAACATACTAGACTCACAGTCTGATACTATGATTAGATGAGATTTTGTGGGGCCACTGAAAGAGATGAATGTTATTTTGCATTTAAAATGCACATATATAATTTTGAGCAGAGGGTAGACTATGGTAGATTTGTTACATTAATGTAATCAATGAATGT